TACTGCACTCTACTGCTAATTTCCTTTGCCATAATATGACTTAAACCATGTCTACTTTATTATTTGTACAAAGAACAAAAGAGGTTTACAAACTAAGTACTATTTATAAGATCATTAGTATTTAAAAAAAAAATTACACATAGCTTAATTATTTAAGCTTGAGAAATATTGAACAGCTTCGATTAATCTTATATTGAAGGTATACAAATTTTTTTAAAGTCAACTCTTAAAAAAATTATTTTTTTATATATTTTAATTTATTTACGTAATTTTTAGTTATCAAATTAACTCTATTTGTAACAACTTTTTTACAATAATTTAAGGATTTGCGTAACAGTCAACCTATAAATAATTACGAATCATGTATTTTACGTTGAGGTGAAACATTTATTGACTTAAAATGATTATTATTCAATACATGGATATTTTAAAATTAAAAAACCAATAAATACAGGGTAATTATTTTTAAAATTAACCGCTTGATTTTTCTTAAAATAATAATTATGTTAGGAAAAATCTTTTTGATATTTATAGATTTTATATATTTTTTGAATTATTAAATATTTTTATATCTTTTAAGGGTGTAAATTTTATTTATATTTAATGGTGACATACATCTTGAATTAAAAAATAATATATAAAATTTTAAGATACCAAAAAAAAAAATGTTCTCAACATAATTATTATTTTGAGAGAAATCGAATGTCTAATATTATGTTATTAATATATTATTAAGAATCACTCAGTATACTTTCAATATTATTTTCAAACTTTGGAATCATATATTGAAATATTTTTTCTTTCGAAAACAGGTAAAGAAAATTGAATGAACCTGGTGGTAAGCGCCCGGTGGTATTCACGCGGGTTCATTAACGTTCGTGGTTTTATTTTGTCCTAAGTCTTTGGCTATGTCGAGGATGAGGAATGAGATGAGTATGCTGTATGTTTGAATGTAGATTGTATGACTGATTTCAATGTAAATGAATTTTGCAATGTATAATTATAACAGTCAGATGTATTATACAAGAAATATAAAATCTTATATACACCCATGTGGATAGGGGGAAATTTAATACTAATGCCACAAAGGCGCTGATATAAACAAATAATAAATTATACTAGCGAGTAAGTCTTAGAATGATAGACGAACAAGCATTATACTTGTCGGCTAATTGAAACGGCTGATGATAATGTTGAATACTGAAAGGATCAATTGAAGTCGAATGCAAGTAGCTGACCAACGTGCACAATATGCTGTGAACGGTATTTTGATGTATCTCAGAAAATATATAGACACAACGGCGATATACTGAGCGCATAGGGTACGACAATCGCAAAGGTGATATTTTACTTTTACAACAAAACGAATACAAAACTACCGATTCGCAAGCGCCATAGAGCTTATAGCTAAAAAACGCTAAGATGGCGGCGACAATCCAGACATAGAGAGAAGACCGACAACAACTCGATGTAGCCCAACAATAGCATAAATAATCACAACACAATTTCGCTACAGCAGATTGATGTGTATCCAACAAAATTATTCTAAATTGTNTATTGATGTGTATCCAACAAAATTATTCTAAATTGTATATATTTTTAATGTTCAGACATTTATTTTAAATTACTTAAATAACTACTTGCTGATATTACAGTATTTATTAATATTTCTCACAGACATAGAGAGAAGACCGACAACAACTCGATGTAGCCCAACAATAGCATAAATAATCACAACACAATTTCGCTACAGCATATTGATGTGTATCCAACAAAATTATTCTAAATTGTATATATTTTTAATGTTCAGACATTTATTTTAAATTACTTAAATAACTACTTGCTGATATTACAGTATTTATTAATATTTCTCTTTTTATACAGGCTTTTAATAAAATATAATTAAAATATTTTAAATTAATTTTTGTGAATACTAAAATTTATTTTTTACATTTAAAAGTTATCATAATCATTATTAAATGTCAAATCAAAACGTTTACAAATTAAGATTTATTTATTTATGTTTTATATTTTTAAAAGATTATTGAAAAATATTAAACTAATAAATGTTTAATCTACGCGCTAGATTTCAGTTTGTAATATTTTATATTTTATTTTTGCGGCGTATGAGAATTTTAAAAGTCTATTACCGAGGGTATTTTACAAAAAAATAGAGTAATACACATATATTTTCTTTGTGCCAAATGTCCAAATACTCTCCGATACATAGAGACGCCTTTGACCGATCCAATTGAGTTTTATTTTGTATACATATAGGGAGCGATAAAAGCTTCTATTATAGTTTTTTTTTCGGGGTGGAATCGTCTTTGAAACTTTTTTCTATTGCAAACGGTTGTGACTGTATTTAATTCTATATTACTGTATCTGCTTTGGCCAGGGTCAAAATATACACAATGTTCATACGGGCGAATAAGTCTACCCTTTTTTTATTGATGTTATTATACGTACGAGTCTGGTAGTTGTGATTGATTAAAACGTAATTTATAGTTAGCTCATAAAAGCTAATATAGTTTCTCTTTTTGCCTTACTCAATGGCGTAAGTAATATATGTATTAGAAAATAGTCAATGATTTGCAATAAGATTATGTGATATAGCTTAAACGTGCAATACAGGTATTTTTTTTTAAATTGGCCACTCAATTTCTCTTATATAATAACCATGTTAAGAAAATTGATTTTTGTAATTGTTTAGTTTCATATATTTTTTTAATACATCCCTTATACCACACAGAGATGTGAACTTTATTTTTAGTGTAATAATATTTATATTTAACTAGCTTGCAAATTAAAAAATAATCTAATTATGAAAATGACTGTTCGATAATAACTTTTGATCTAATAATAGAACTTTGGAAGGTATTAACATTTTTAAATATAGAGTGAAAGAAGAGCACAAAAGAGTAATACGTAACATAAATTGACAAGGTAATAAACATATATTATAATGCAGATTATCTATAATATAGAATGATTGGTTCATCATAAACCACTCATTTTCAAAATAAATACAGTTATAAAAAATAAAAATATGGTTTTTTTTGTTACATATATTTTTTGATTTATTAACCAATTATTACTTTTAGGATTATCCTTTATAACATATAGGAGTGTCAACTTTATTTTTTAAATGGTAACATACATATTTAATTAAGTTATGAAATAAAAAATTAACTAATAAATAAAATAAGTGGTCGGTAATAGTTTCCGAGTTATTGTTTCAGAAGTCATTGACAATTTAATGTAATGACTGAAAGTGAGGATGGTTGTTGCTATTTTAATCACTAGTCATTTCCCTGCCGTACTCTTCGTCCTTCCTGGGTATAAAAATGATAATGCCATCCAAAGAAATCATTATTTTTACCAATACTATATTTATTTTGCGAATACACAAATAGTTTATGATAAACCGCATACTATGTAAATGTATTCTCAATATAAACCTAACTGCGAAAAAGTTCCAACTCCCTCCTTTTCCACCTATCAATTATTAATGATTACTTTATGGTCAAGTTTAGTCTTTAATTAGTTCATGAACTTCAATCCTACTTTTATGAGAAACATTGTTTTTTTTATTCATATTGCTTAATACTTGTTAGATTTTTATTGAGGCATAAAAAAGATTTTGCTATATTTTTCAATGGATCTCATTATGTGATCTGTACATTTTTTCTCTTCTTCAGAGATGTATTTTTTCCATCTCTCATGTAATTCCTAAATGAGTACTCATCCAGTGCTTGATCAGAAACTAATCAAGTGCTGATCAATACCTAAAAATAAAATTCAATATTGCTTATGAAAGTAAGACTTTTACAGACGTACATTTTTAGGAGGAGGTATTAGAACTTGGCCTTTATAGACAATACGGTTTTTGTTTAGTATATTTTTTTTTGGCTATCTTAGGTTAGCAAAATACATAATTTTCACAAGGCTCTAAAAATGAAAGAGCGACTACCAGTTTTGCTATTTTCAAATGACGTTTTTGCCTATAATACTGAGTATTATGAAAAGATAATAACTCAGATTTTTCACTTTATTTACACTATAAGAACTACCACTGTGATAAACTTCACGTTCTACCTATACGAGAAGTGTCTTATTATAATGATAATGAATCAGTTAATTAGTAACAAAATCAAAAACTTCGAAATTCTTCAATTTTGAAATGGCTAATTAAGAGGTAAATTATTTACAGTTTTCTACGCTACTAGATCATATCTATATTTTAAGTTTCGAAAGCTTACCTTAAAAATTAACAGATATTAGGGCTTTAAAATTTAAAAAAAAAGACTTTAAATTAAATAAATTTATGTATTTATGTTTATGATTTTCAAAAAAAAATTTCCTTCCCTCTCTTGCTCCCTAAAAATTGTATGAACTTGAGTTTTTTAAATAAAAACGTCTATGTTTAACCAACTTAGCAATAATAGTGCTAATATTAAAAGATATTAGCATTTTTATAACATAGCGGTAGGAGGTGTGCAGTTCATTAATGATTTAAGATTATAATAAATAGATCCACGCTTCAACTTCAGACTTAATAACAAAAGATTTGATAAATTACAAATCACTGGTCCAAGAGATGTTATCGACCAGTCATTTTCTAGTTTTTGTAGGAAAATGCTTTCATTTAATGAATAATTAAAACAGTAGTTTTTTTATCGGAGCTTTTGAAAAGTAAGTAATTATTAATTACTTAGAAAAAAGTTTAATTTACGTTTATTTAAATAGAAAAATAAATAAAAGATGCTTAAATATTAAAACAAAAAGTAGAATTAAGATTTAAATACCCAATATTTAAATATTTAACTTTTATATTTATACATCACAATTATAACTAATAATTAAATTTCTTAGTAATGTTAAAATAATAATTTTATAACATGAATAAATAATAAAATTAATACAAATTTCATTTAGTTAAGAGTGATATCAAATAAAAAATTACAAAAAATACAAAAGAGGCTGTAAAATAATTATAAATACCATTCTTAAAATTATTTAAAAAATTCAGAAACTATTAAATTTTACCTGATTAAAAATAAAATATAATTTACCTACGAAAAAAGTTATGACTGGTTAACATCATTATACATAAATTTTGTTTTTCTGAGTATTATTGTTGTTCCTTTCTTTTTTAAATTTATAATAGATTGGATTGTTTTATTTAGTGATATTTTTTTTTTTATCTTTTTCTTGTTTTCTTTCACTTTCTTTGATGATATCTTTGATTTGTGTAAAAAAATTACCAAGTAATCCAAAACATTCTTCAATTTTAAATTTTGTTAAATCTTCGCCGAAATAAATAGCTACTTTTTGAATGTCAACGATGGCTATTTTATAATGGTCGTTTAGTTCTTCAACATCAATGACAGACTGTTCAAGGAATTTTTTTAAGGATTCCGATATGTTATTAGTGCATGCTTTAGTTTCATATTTAGATAATAATGATTTTATTTGTTTATTGCTTGTATTCACTTCCTCTTCTAATCTAACTATAGACATTTTTGATAACATTCCGAGACTCGAAGAGTACTTTGTAAAGCTTAATATATCATCTTTGTATTCTTGAGCTACTTCTATAACAAAGTGGAGGAACGTTATCCTTGGCTTATTTGTCCGTATATCATATAATTTTGACAATGAATTTAATGTAAAACTTCTTGCGTTACCAGCATAAGTTCCCTATAAATTAATAATAGTCATTCTTTTTTTTTTTTTATAAATGCTGTTTTATCAGTACTAAGATACTGTATAATACTATTTATTATCCATTGTTTTAAAAATAGGATTTTATTATTTTATTACTTATAGTATTTATGTACTGTGAATAACTGTAATATACAGAGTGATGTTTTTATCATTACTCACTTAATTACTTATAGAAAAAAAAAATTTAATATTTTTTCTTTTTCATTATCTTTTATTAATTTAACTTAAATATAATACAATATAATGTCATACCTTATGCCTTGTAAAGGTGTTAACTTTGTTTTTAAATGGGAAAACATATTTTAATTTAACAGTAAATGTCATTTGAATTTTTATTCTGTAAGTAATTATGTGGGTTATGATAAAAAAATCATTCTCTATTTGTTAACTGTTAAATATTTAGTCATTTATTTAAAATTAAAATTAAATCAATGGTCTTCACTTAATGTTCTTATAAAACAAATTTTCTTCTTAATTATCCAAAACCTCTTTATAAAAAATTTGCGCTCTTGAATTATACCAAGTAATCCTCTTAATCGTTTAAAAAAATTATGGTGTATATCTCTTTAACACTTAAATATGTGAAAAATTCAAAACAGTAAGAGTGCAACCATTGTGTCATTTTTCCTTAATTTATTTGTCAATGATAAAAAAAAAAAAAATGAATTTAACATAAGTTCTTATTGTATATACAGAATTTCTTTATAGGACTTAAGAACAAATGAACTAGCAAATATATTGTGTTGATTCTTTTTTTTTTATTTTTGGACTATGTAGAATATTTTGATTATTTGTCTCTAATAATAAAAAAAATTATTTTTTTATTTTTAAAGTTTAATAATAGCCACTTTTTAGTTTTTTTCTTATAAAAAAAAATGTCAATAAGTCGAATACAATTTAAGAATAAGTATCTATTGAGTTACAAACAGTTTAATTCATAGAATGGGTGTGTACTAGTGTATATATATTGTACGTATTTTGCTATTCAATGAGTACTTGTCCCAAAATTGTTATAGATCTATCAATTTTTTTTTTTTGAGACTAGAAAATGGTTTTTTTTCTTAATTGTGATAAATAGTAGCAAATATGGGTTAAACATAGTATACGAAGAAAATAATTATTTAAAAAAATGTCATTAAAATGATATTAGTATCAAAAGTTATAAGACTTATTAGTAAAGTCTAAGGCGCTGTGTATATACAGATTGTATTTTTTCTTGCACAAGAACATAATTAATAATTATAATAAAAAAAATTTCTTTTCAAGTTGTTAAATGTTTAAAACATATTTAAAATTTTTTTTTTTTTTTAATTACTAAGACACAAATTTCTTCATAGTCTTAAGACATTTGTAATTCTAAATAAAATGTATAAAACTTACTGCATTTATGTGGTTACCAATAAATAATACGACTGATAAAAATTCCTTGAATGAATCATCTTTAATAATATCATGACACATTCTTTGAATATGTCGCAATAGAGAATGCATTTCATTAAGCATTGATGGTAATTCCTCTTTTAAAATCATTAATTTAATTTTTTCTTCATAACATGGTATCTCATTTAAAGCCAAACAAAACTTTTCTGCTGCACCATAATTTTTTGGATCACCACGATATTTTTTTATTGCTATAACATCATCATGAATGGGTAAAATTTTTTGAATTATTTCTAACTTTTCAATAGGAATATAATTTTCATTCTCAAGATCATTAATAAATTTATCGGTTTCTAATTTCAATTGTTTAAGCATTATATTAATTGCCAAACTTCTTTTATTATCCAGTATATTCTGAACTAAAACCTTAGGTTTTCCACTGTTCAAAATAATCTTAGGAGGTAACTTAGGTTTTTGAATAAATAGTTCTTCAATTTGATTTTGATCAAAAGATATATCTGGTGGGGTTATGGATGACCATAATGATTTTTCTAATTGCACAAAAGTATTATTTTAAAAATACATGTATTTAATGTATAATAGATCAACTTAATAAGATTTAAAATTTTAATTACCTAAGTTTTGACTTTTAATCTTATTCCAATGAATTAATTTCATTTTATTTTTTGGTGTATTTATTATTCCAGCTGAAGCACTTTTTGAATTTTGTAACATTGATGAGGAGTTATGTTCATAATTTAAAGTAGGAGGCTGTGTTGATATTGTGTTTAGTTGATTAGGTGACACTGACGAATAAGGTTTTTCATGTAAAAGTGATGGTGTTGTTGATAATGAGGTCTGAGGTTGTGATAAAATTAAAGGAGATGAATGTGATGATTCCGTTGATTGTTTTGATTTGAAAGACTGTTGTGATTGTAACTGTTTTGATTGGAGAAATTGATCTGTCGAAGAAGAATTTTTCAATTTTGATGGAGTCGGATGTGGTAGTGGAATCGTTTGTGATGATTGATTAGATGGTAGTTTGGGTAATGGTGGTGGTGGCGGTGGCGGTGGTGATGGAATCGTTGGCGATGATTGATTAGATGGTAGTTTGGGTAATGGTGGTGGTGGCGGTGGCGATGGAATCGTTGGTGATGATTGATTAGATGGCAGTTTTGGTAAAGATGGAGATAATGGAGTCGTTGAAGATGGTAATTGCTGAGATTCCGGTTGTAGTAAAGTTAGTGGAGGTGTGCTTATTGTGGTTGAAGTAAGATGAGATGACGGTCCTGGAAGTATAGTTGTAGAAAACAGTTTTGATAATGATGATGATGATGAAGTAGGTGGTAAAATGGTTAAAGGAGAACATTGTTCTTTTAGTGGAATTGATGTTGGTTGGAATGATGAAATAAGTGGGAAGGAATATTTTTCAAATGTTTGTAGTGGTGGCCATTGTGAAAACTGTAATTTTTGATTTTTTATTGCAAATGTATTGAATGTGCTGTTTGGTGCACAATTGAATGAGCGAATATTTGAATCAAATCGTTTTTCATTTCTATGCTGTTCAAATTAAAATTATTATTTGATTTATTTATATTACGTAGATTATATTATTAATATAAATATATCAGATTAAATACTTTTTGCATACTTTATAGTTCTGTCAATTTTTTATTAGTACTTTGTAATAAATTTAAAAATAATCGTAACACCTCTCACTTTATGATATACTTGTAAATTGTATGTACACTTTTTATTTCAAATAATGCAAAAAGTAATAGAATATTGATATAAGAGCTAAGTATAAGTTTAAACTGTGAAATTTGATATTATCAACGCAATAGGACAATAGAATGTTTCAATCTTAAAACATCTTGATTGAATAACAATTATTTTTATTTATTAAAACATTTCATTATATTAAATGATATTATATTTAAAATATTGTTAAAAAAAAAGAAATACTTCTATTATTTTTAAATAAAGAGAGTTGAAAAAATTATGCTGGTTTGCAAATTTTATAAATAAACATAGAAGTTACTTTACTGTACCTTAAAATTGATCATATTAGAAATATTTCTTTTTTCATACTTAAAATGTAAAAAATCTTATAAAGTTTCGATATAATTATAATGTCTCAAAATTTTAGAAACAAAATTATTAATTTTATTTTTGTTAAAAAAACACAAGAAACGAAAAATATTGTTTGTATTTTATTTCAAGAATAATTGAATATATTTCAAAACAATGAAATCGTAAACTTATTAAATTATTTATTTATTGAGAAATTGTTAAAGTAACTTTAAGGTAATAGGTAAAGTTAATATACATTTTATAAAAACAATATTTAAATATATATTTACAATAAGATAAACATATTATTAAGAATTTAAAACAAAAAAAAGAAATATAAATAATTAAATTTAATGTATTATTTTAATAAAAAATAATATTTAAAGTATCATTTTCTTTAACATGGCTAAATTATGGTAATGGAAATCAAAGTTAGATAAAGAGTTACAAAACAGTAACATGCTATTTAGTGGGGAGTTATGACTATAATTCTATTTTGTGTAGGTAAATAAAAACACGAAAATTCTTTTGGATTAGTAATAAGTACATAAAACTTGATTTTATTTAAAATATCTGGGAAATCAATTTTACTATTTAATAAATTATAAATTCACTTCACATCATTAAATTTTCTTCTAGCTTGAAGGGTAAACATCCCAAAATCACATAATATCGTTTATTTTTTGATTTTATTCTATGACAATAAAATTTAAAACATAACATTATTTTGATAATATTATACTACATAATTAGAATAGAGAGGGTTACGATTATATGTTTGCGTTAGAGTTAATTTTTACAAATTTTATTAATTTAAAATTAACATGTTACAAGTGGATTTATTGAAAAAAGGTGTATCATTACGAAATAATTAAATAGTTCACAATTAACGTTTAGTGTGATAGTCTTATTTGTGCAACTAATAATTTTCATAAAAGGAATTAAAATAGTTAAACAGTATAGATTACTTGATTGAAAATATTGATTTTATCTGTCCATGTTAAAGCAAAGTGTAGTATACTTGACAAAAAAATTATTTTGTTAATATACATTGATAATTTGTGAAAAATTAAAAATTTTTGAATTAATACTTTTACGTTTTTACTGAAATTTATACGCAAACATTAAATTTTCATTATTTATACAGATATATTATTTAAAAAAATATATTAAGTGTTGACATCATTTATATGCTGTGAATTTGCATATAATTTAATGACGCAAAAACAATCGATTTCAATAATGAAAATGCATTTCGCCAGAATTAAGTTATTAGCTTAACGAGAGAGGATAGTACTAAGTTGTCAATGTGGTTAGAAGATTTCATCACACTTATGTGTATAAAAATAGAATAGATCAATATTAAATGATATTATTCATAGAGAGCAATACTTGCCTTTTGTCTTATAATCCAAATATTTATTAAAAAGGTATGGTACTTTTTTAAACAATACATCGTATACTTATAGTTATAATTCATTTTAAAATTACTGTTCATATAAAGTTGTATTTTAAACTTTAATTTAACCATTATTCAATGTTTTTAAGAAGTATATATTTTTATTAAATCAAGTTTCATACTTAGTTTACTGTAATTATTATTATTATATTTTTACTAAGGCAGTTTCTGAATTACTATAAATTAAAAACCCAACCGATTTATTCTAAATGGGCTTAGGCATCATGTATTAATTTTATTTGATATTTTATATATTTTAAATATGGACATCGGAAAATTTATTGTATTATTATATAAATGTGATTACAATTCGATATTTTATGATCCAAAATTATCTTAGTTAAAAATTAGGATTGGTTAGAAATTATTTTATACGTAATTCATTTCCTATATAATTCGGGTAATTTTTTCTGCATTTCTTGAAAGTGATAATTTATATTAATAATGAATAAATATTTCTATAATAAACGAGAATTTAAAAATTTTACTATTCAAACAAAACCAGTGAATCTGATGAATAAATTATTTGTTAATTTTGTAAGGTACTATAAATATGAATGCAAGATGTATTAAATTATTCAAATAATTTTGTTTTCAAAAAACTAATTAAAAATCAAAAAAAATTATGAACACTATCTATCTTAACTTTCCTCAATATTCTAATTTCTTTTCGATCTTTTAATGTTATTTATCTCTGTTATATTCTTATATTGAATTATTCAATTAACCACAAATTATGAATGTAAAGCAAAAATAAACACTCAAATTTAGTGATGATTTTTTTAGATGATAACAACAATAACTATACCTCAAAGTAATCGAGAAAATTTTATCATATTTTTAGGAAATTATATAGGAAGGTTCTTCATTTTATTTCTAATAAAAACTTTATTTTATATGAATACTTATTATCTGTTATACACATTAAGTAATTATTTTTAATATGGTTCAAACATTGATGATATGGTTACTTTAAAAGGAATACCTACAGTCTGCACCTCTTTGTACATTATATTATTTTATTATTTTTTTAAAGTAGTCTATAGACCATTTCCAGTGAAATCTTCACCTAAGATTGTCTAAGAGAGAGTATTGCTAAATAATTTCTTCNAAAATAATTTTTTTAACGAATTAGTCTTATATTTTAACACAAACAGCATGAAATGTATTAATAAAATATAATATTATTTTAGCTGAACAAATACAAAATAAAATAATAATATGTTGAATTAAAGTTATTTTATAATTTCTAGAAATTAAAAAAAAAATGGTTATGGACTACGCTGAGATGTTATTAGATAGTGTAGAGGAATGTCAGGTAATATGACAATAAAAGTAAACGTTACAAACCAACTGTTACTACTAAATACTATTGTTATCTATAGAAAACAACGTACCCATTATATTACACAATGACTATTCAATACCATCAAAATTAACAGCATACCAATTTTACTATTTATTTTCAGTTCAACTTACTTTTTGGGAACATTTTTTTGTACAAAAATTATATTATATCACATTACTAAAAAAGTTAATGTATTCAATTTTATTTCAAAATGGAAAAATACATTCAGTATTAATGCAAATAATTATTCACGTAAAATTACCTATGAGAATATTCTTTTTATTTTTTTTTATTATATTTTAAATTATTGTAAAATTGTCTCGAATTGGCCAATAAGTATAAAAGCACTTCTGAATTTACCTTTTTATCTTCAGATAGTTCGATCAAATGAAACTGGAAATATAATCTACATCGAATAAAAGTTAATTAATTATTTTATTTTATTATTTCAAGTTACAAATGTTTTAGAATTATATTTAGATGTAGCTAAATTTATATTTTATAACCAAATTGAGGACATTTTATGGTAGTTATACATTACAGTACATACAGAATTTTTTTTTAACGGGGAATTTTTCGATTGCATCTACACTAAAGCATTTTTTGAGAGGAATATTATTTTTAGTCTTTGGACAAGAAATAAATTATTAAGAAACCACAGAAATTCAAAAAGACATTCAGAAGCCATAAAATCATTTTTTCACTCAATTGTTTTTCTGGGAATTTTTGCTACTTTTTTAATCTGCGATTATCAACCTTGTGATGATTATTTTTCTAACATAATTTTTATTTTTTTCAAATACATTTCAAGTATGATATAGTATTATTAAAGAAATTATATAGTTTCATTTATTTTTTTTAATATATAATTAAATCCCGTAATAATTGTCAAAATAATATTATTTTGTTAAATCACTATGAATAATTATATGCAAATCTACATCATTGAATTAATACTTTGACAATATAATTAATCATTTATANTGAATTAATACTTTGACAATATAATTAATCATTTATAATTAAAAAATACTATGAATATGTAAAAAGTATATTATTGATTTATCAGATTTATGATTATAAATATAAATGTAATATAAAACAACAAGGCGGTATAAAACAAATATAATAAGCGACTGAAATTCAAATTACCTTAAGAAAAATTGTAAATAAATATTAAAATATATAAGTATAAGAAATAAAGTATTAACGTTAAATGTTTTTGAAAAATTGCATTTCAGCGTAACTGGAAATGACATACTGTTTCCTTTTTACGAATTATTTGATAGAATATAAACACGTGTGTGCTGTTAGCCGACTTCCTGGAAATGATAACTACAATTACTAAGTGATTTCCTAACAATTCAGAAGTACAGGTTAAGCCTTAACCTGTACTTCTACATTGTTATTCTCTAAAAAAAATAAAATACTTAAAAAGTACAGTAGTTACCGAACAGATGAAAACTCATATATCCTTAAGTAGAAAAAATGTTTGTTATGTTCACTACTTATATCGAATCAAATCAGAAACGCTTAATTTTAACCTAACCTAAATAAGTTTAAACGTATTTTATAATAATGGAAAATATTGGATAGTAATTATCGAACAATAGTCAATCAATAACTGTAGGAATAGTAAATATATTCGATAGTTATTCAAACTATTCGATTGTACCTATTATTCGAATAGTATTAAAAACTATCGAGTAGTTCAATCCGGATAATTTTGAATACTATTCGATAGTTTATGTTGAAGTAACTATTTGGTTGAATAAAAAATATTCAACAATTTTCATTATTAGTATTTTATTTATCTTGGACTACACTCTAGATAATTATCGGGATTTCCTAAAACACTATTTCGAGTCTGTACGGCAAAAAAATTAATTTTGACCCTGAATTTATAGAACTTAGAATTGTATGAAAATTTTACCTTAAATAAAAAAAGTACATTGTAAAATAAACACTTATTTGTTTATCACTGTTGTTATATAAATATTTAACTGCACACCTTTAAAGTTTAATTTGGAGCTAACATATGTTATGCCAATGTGAATTTATTATACAAATATTTCTCAAAAACATAATGAAATGACGTCAAATTCTAGATAATAAAACAGCATTAATTATCAACTATTATCATATAAAATATTTTAGGCGATGAGTACTGGAATCGAACATGTTTTGTAAACAAATTAAGTCTAAGACAATTATATAATTTTGACATATGATTACCGTTAATTTTTTAACAATTATCTTTAAAAGTAACCATGTATGAACTTTAGGTTGGGTTGGGTTAATAAGATATTTTTATAATTGTAACTAAAAATAATTATTTTTAGGTTTTTTAATTTTATTATAAAGATTTTAAGGGAACACTCTATTAAAATTCACTTTTTTTATTTACAAAAAATGAAAGTTAAAATATTTTAATGTTATAATTTAAAAAATTATAGCTTTGTCATATATAGTTAAAAATAGGGGTTCCCAATTAAGAAAATTATNAAAAATTATAACTTTGTCATATATAGTTAAAAATAGGGGTTCCCAATTAAGAAAATTATAAATACGGATTTTTATCCCTAAAGGGAACGAAAACAAAAAAGATTTAACTACATATTATTGTAAAGTTTTTTGAATCTAATTTTTCACATCTTTACAAAAGTTTATAATTCTCAATAGTCTCTGAGAAATTGAGTGTTTTATTATTTTTTTGAACACTATATGTATATATGTAAGGGGTACTGAGAATATTAAAAATATGAAAGTTTTAAATTCTATTACTCTCATTTATGTGCAACGCAGACGAACTTTTTTCTAGAATCTTTTTCCTGAATTTTTCCAGATTGGTACTATGAAATGCCGTTTTCTGTGGAGAAGAAATGTTTTATAAGAAATATTTTGATTGGTTTATTTTAGAAGGTTTATATTAAACCAATTAGTTTGATCTATAATCTATAAAAAAGATTAATATTTTTTAATATTTCATAAAGACCCTGGTGTTCCCTTTAAAGATTCTTTATTGCAGTACCATTTATTAAACGGCTTTGAATTAAAATGCACATAGATTATACATTCATGAACAGATATATGTTGAAAAAATATATAAGTATATAAAGCACAGCGTTGTTATAAATATTTAAAACATTTTTTGATTTTATAACAATTTTAAATACTATGAAATAATTCATTATTATATAATTATATATTACAAATGAATAATAATCCTAAAATTTATCGTAAAATTTCATGATAAAAGCTCAAACATGTAAATCAA